AAAAAAAGGAGTAACTTGCTTTTAACGGTGACTAATGTTCCATATTAATTTTGTCTCACCCTGTATAACTTTTCGGGTCAAATTTCAATTTGATTTAACATACAATGGTTACTGTAATTAAATATCAGGCTATACAAGGTCAACTAAAATTTAGGTAGCTAGGTATATTATCAAAATTTAAAATTTACTTTTTATTTTCACAAAATGTGAAATATGTATGTCAAAATCCTTAGATTTTAGGTATAGGCTTCTTAATAAAAGTCACCTTTATTTTTTTCCTAAAATCTAAAAATCAATTAATATATAGGGTGTTCCCTTAGAAAAAACACAACTTTGATGTGTAACTTTTTTGGGGACACCCTGCATAATTCTATATATTTTTATAAAATGCTTTTAGTTAACCTACATATGCTCCCAAAATTTCATTCCGATATAAACTACCGTTCTTCTTGGAGCTTCCTCGGCGTATATAAGGCGCCACCCTGTACAGTGGAAAATTAATAATTTTATACCTAACTAAAATAAAAATATTATGTTTCCAGTTTTATATTGTAGCTTTTCCTAGAAAATATGGATATTCGTATTGCACACTTTAAAAATATCTTCGTACGTATTTTTTCATAATAATTTCAATCATAAGTTACATAGTTTTCAGTACAATCAGTACTTTTTGAAATAATATGACAATTTTTATATAAAATTTTCTGCGCATTTAAATCTCGGCCAAAAGTGTAAAATCGCAAATTAATATTTTTTTTAATTTATCTAGTCTATGTTCAGTGAACTTTGACATTGATAGTTAACTTTTTTGTTGCAATTCCCCATAAGAATTTAATCATTAATTAAATTAAACAAGTTTAACTGGAATATATTGAGTTAATGCACCACTCATTTATTTCAAAAAAGATTGTTTTGCGGTCATAAAATATCATTTATTGAAATTCTAGGGTAAAGTTAGTATTAATTTTTAAAATGGCGGCGGAGAGTGGTTTTATTCTAAATGAATATGGCGGAATAATGAAGTTACCAATGACTAAAGAATACAAGGACCAATAACACTCAAGACCAAATTGTTACCATACCTCCAAACATTACTTATTATTTATATTATATTATTAACTTTTTTGATTCCAAAAATACATAGTAGTTCTATGTCCACTGAATATTGGGACACTCCGTATATCACTTATAACATCCGGTTAAAGGTTGATTCTCACTATACCTTCCGTTTCCATTCCATATCCGTTCCGTATTTTTTATTGTATTGACGTTATACGTCAGCTTCCGTTCCGTATCAGTTCCATACTTTTTATTGTATAATTTATATCGTTCGAAAGTTTTATTTTAAAAATTTGTATCTTTTGAAAAGAATAATAAATTTAATTAAGGGGTAAAAGAATAAATAAATATCCACAAAATGTTAACAGAGCTGGTACAAATGTAAGAACTTGACAACGCTGTTTGCGATACGCTTCAGTCCGTCCGCCAAAAAAATGTATGGAAGGAAAGGATATGGAACGGAAGAGGAACGGAACGGATAGTGTGCATTGTCCTATTCACATGATATAATATTTTATGTAAACGAAACGGAAGGGAGCTGATATGAAGGTATAGTGAGAATCAACCTTTAACCAAAAATATTTTCATGATATTTTGACGACGCGGCGACGTTTCGTGCACTACAAAATCCCATCATTCATGAACCAAATTAAAAGATCGTCCGATTTAAATGACATTTGGTATGTCGATAAATTTGACCAATGCCAAATTGACCGTGTACGAAGCATGTCACTGTGGCAGTTCGTTTTGACGTAAGAAACGTCAAAAGTTGATGTCGTCTGATCGCGACCATATTTATTTGGTTGGTAGGCTATGTGCCCGACGAGGCACACGGTCCCACCCTGCAAAGTTGGATACGACGTTTTGTTTACATCTTCATCAGGGTGGGGCTAATAATTTGATACTGAAGAAAAATGTGAGTCAGTTTCGGCATAATTGGGGACGGGCTACATGTGACGCCCTCGATATTTCGAACCGATGCCTCTAAATGGATAAAATCGTCAGGATTTTTCTCTTAATTATGGGTCGATTGAAAACAAACTCGGCACGTGGATATAGGTACCCGAATAGAGTCCTCAGATGGATTAACGCACAGACGGGCAGACGGACTGACAGACAAAAGTAAGAAAAAATGTCCACACAATTTTTTTCTAGATTTTCTTCTAGTGACTAAAAAACATAAAAAAAGTCTTTTCAATGAACAGAATAATAAATTTAAGTGATTAAGTATGACCATGTTTTCTAATAAACTAAATTATAATTTTGTTACCAGAGTTAAATCCTTTTCTTTCAATAGGGGATATTAGATTGGGAGGATTACTTTTCTTGTATTAGAGTTGTTTTTAGGGTTCCATACCTCAAGAGGAAAAAACGGAATACTTATAGAATCACTTTGTTTTCTGTTCTGTCTGTCAAGAACGTCTTTTACGCGTGAAGGTATCGAGTTGAAATTAAAACAATATACTCCTACCTAAAACCATATACTATCTACATTAGTCTACAGAAGCTGCGAGAAAATTAAACTTCTAAGGTAACGTAAAAAAAAGATACGGCCGTTTATTCCGCAAAAAGAGGCATATTTAGACGTCTTAAAAATCAAAATGCGTTTCTGTGGTAATATAATTTCAATTTTGTTCTTTGGTAGAATGTTATGGATAGAATTTTAATTAATATCATATTGTTTGCTGTTTTGGAAAGGTTCATATAATGGTTATCGAAAAATGTGATACTTTAGCAACAGTAAAAAATATGACGTTAATCAAACTTAATAATAATTATCTATCAAAGAATGAAATAATTAAAATTATATTACCATAGAAACGTCTTTTGATTTTTTAGGATTTATAAAAAAATTAATATTTATTACATATTTTTATTTATTTTTTTTAATTTTCTCTAAAACGGTATGGAAATTTGGAAAAGCATAACCGGGATTAATCCTTTTAGAACGAGGAAACATTTTAATAAAGAATGGAAAAACAAATTTCTTGCAGGTATAGGTAGGTGCCCGTAGCAGGTGTCCGGTGGCGTAGAGATACAGCTCTCGTCTACCAATTCAGAGGTTGTTGGTTCGAATCCCATAGCCGGCATTTCATTTGCCGACTATTTTTAATAAATAAAAATAGTTTGGGTACCTAGGCCGACTCAGCCTTAAATGAGTTCTTGGGATTTACAATCCTGAGATAATAATAGACGGTTGAAGCGTTAAACGCTATGTACGGGAGCTATTATTATTATTATATAAAATTCTTGCCTTGAACTGCTAATATGGAAATTTAATTCCACACTGTGCTCGTCATAATGGGGAACAACCTGCTCTCACTACCAGTTTCGGAGCCCCATCATCAGGTGAGTTTTGGTTGATTCCACAAAATTACAAACCCAGCGCAGACGAACACAGTGTCACACAGTGTGGAATTAAATGTCTGTTTCTATATTAGCAGTTCCAAGGCAAGAATCTTATATGTACATAATTTATTTAATAAAGAATGGATATTTCTCATAATGTCAATAATAAGAAAGTTTTTTCGTCTGTAAAGACAATCTGGCGACATATGTTACTGTAGTCTTCATTTAAAGTCTATTTATAATATGTGGCTAACGGAACCTTCGGTGTGACTCGCACTTTTTTTTACTAAATAATAACGTCAGGTTAACAACATGTTTAAAAGAGAGTTTTAAAAAATCATTATTTAAAAGACGTTTAAAATCCAGGGTGTCTCATTTAGGTAAAAAATGTATATGTACTGCCAAAATAAACAAAAGAGAAAGAGAAAAAAGAGAAAGGTAAACTAACAAACAAAGTAAAAAAACAAGGTACACAAACAAACAAACAAAAGATAGTACGAAACATTATGCAAATAATATTGTCAGTCTTATTGTTTAAAATAAACCTTTATAAATGTTTACAATGTCAATCAGAGAGTCATTTTCTATCGAATAAAGCAACAAAACACCGAGGGTGCCATTTAAATATCAAAAATACCATTTTACTGCTAAACGACTGCCAGTGATTACGAAGAAGACTGCCTATGACTGCCATTTAATTATTATAGGTGACTGTCGAAAGACTGCCAATGAACGATTGCCAAGAAAATGTATAGGTATGTAATTCCAATAATGGCGTTTTGAATATCTACGTTTGAAAATACTTGTTTTTAAACAAATTTTTTGAAACAAAACAACCCTGGTTTTGATGAACTACATAGTTTATCGAAAATTAAAATTTATTATAGTCATCCGGCTCAAATTTCAATACCAAAAATACCTCTTAACACACTTATTTTAGAGAATTAAAATTTAAAAAAATATTTATATAAATAAGCAACAAAGAATAAAGCAACAAAACACCGAGGGTACCATTTAAATATCAAAAATACCATTTTACTGCTAAACGACTGCCAGTGACTACGAAGAAGACTGCCTATGACTGCCATTTAATTATTATAGGTGACTGTCGTAAGACTGCCAATGAACGATTGCCAAGAAAATGTATAGGTATGTAATTCCAATAATGGCGTTTTGAATATCTACGTTTGAAAATACTTGTTTTCAAACAAATTTTTTGAAAAAAAACAACCCGGTATTGATGAACTACATAGTTTATCGAAAATTAAAATTTATCATAGTTATCCGGCTCAAATTTCAATACCAAAAATACCTCTTAACACACTTATTTTAGAGAATTAATATTTAAAAAAATATTTATAATTTAATTACAAAAAATATATTTGTTTTTAATTATTAGTACATATTTTACTACATACAGATGTCGTCTTATCTAATAATTCTACATTTCTCATCTTTAGATACGAGCAACGAGCAGCATATCTACTAATTACGAGAATGAGAATCATTTTGCTCGTTTGCTAATTAGTACATGCTTATCCTATCCCCACTGGTCAGAAATATCCTTTGTCGAAAATTTGTCGCCTTATTAATGCCACAATTTCATTCAGATATTGATAGTTGAATCGCAGTTGGCTGAGAAGTAAAACTTCATATGCATATAGTCTTAATTACTAGGCGCTCAGTAACGACTAGTGACAAACCGTGATATTTTTTTTCGAATGAAATACCGAAGTCGATCAAATCGACAGCTAATTCAAATTCAGTTTAGAACCTATTTGGAATTATATTACTAATTGGTAAGTTACGTTTATTCAATATTATAAATAAATTATTTCTAAATATTATAGAGAGAATTTTAAAAAAAGATTGCTGTACTATACCAGCCTGAACAATACAGAGTGATTAAATATTCCGAAAAAGCTCCATGTCAGTATTTATATTTTTCACTCATTTCGGGGCATTACTAGCGAACATTTCACAATAATTTAATGGTGTTTACAGGGCGATTGAAATATATATTTATAAAAAAATAGATAAAGAGATATTTAAATTGAATGCTTTATATTTTTTAAATATTCCCATATTTAAATAAAACAAGGTTCCTCAAATTTGAATCTATGTGTATAAGATTAAAAGAACATTGTAAACCTAAACAAAATCAAAAGTTTCAGCTGTATACTCTATATAATTGGCTTTATTTTGGGGATTATTCAAAAATGTTAAATAGAAAAGTTATAGGGAAGGTTCAGGTGCATATTTTAAAATTATTAGTGAGTATACAAGGTGCTTCAAAGAATTGTAGCGGACATAACATAGTTTTTTTAACTAACCCGACTTCTATTTATATGGGGAAGGCCATTTATATACGCAGTTTTTATCATACTGTATATTCATGTTAGAAAGATATTCCTATATAAAAAAACAATGTTCCTGAAATTTGAAGCTATGTATAAGATTAAAAGAATTTTGTAAACCTAAACAAAATCAAAAGTTTCAGCTGTATACTCTATATAATTGGCTTTTATTTTGGAGATTATTCAAAAATGTTAAATAGAAAAATTATAGGAAGGTTCAGGTGCACATTTTAAAATTATTAGTGAGTATACAAGGTGCTTCAAGAATTGTAGCGGACATAACATAGTTTTTAACTAACCCGACTTTCATTTATGGGGGAAGGCCATTTATATACGCAGCTTTATCATACTGTATATTCATGTTAGAAAGATATTCTATAAAAAACAATGTTCCTGAAATTTGAAGCTATGTATAAGATTAAAAAGAATTTTGTAAACCTAAACAAAATCAAAAGTTTCAGCTTGTATACTCTATATAATTGGCTTTATTTTGGGGATTATTCAAAATGTTAAATAGAAAAGTTATAGGGAAGGTTCAGGTGCATATTTTAAAAATTATTAGTGAGTATACAAGGTGCTTCAAAAAGAATTGTATGGACATAACATAGTTTTTTAACTAACCCGACTTCTATTTATATGGGGAAGGCCATTTATATACGCAGTTTTTATCATACTGTTATTCATGTTAGAAAGATATTCTATATAAAAAAAACAATGTTCCTGAAATTTGAAGCTATGTATAAAAGATTAAAAGAATTTGTAAACCTAAACAAAATCAAAAGTTTCAGCTGTATACTCTATATATAATTGGCTTTATTTTGGGATTATTCGAAAATGTTAAATAGAAAGTTATAGGGAAGGTTTAGGTGCACATTTTAAAAATTATTAGTGAGTATACAAGGTGCTTTAAAGACTTGTAGCGGACATAACATAGTTTTTTAACTAACCTGACTTTTATTTATATGGGAAGCCATTTATATACGCAGTTTTTATCATACTGTATATTCATGTTAGAAAAATATTCTATATAAAAAAAACAATGTTCCTGAAATTTGAAGCTATGTATAAGATTAAAAGAATTTTGTAAACTAAAACAAAATCAAAAGTTTCAGCTGTATACTCTATATAATTGGCTTTATTTTGGGATTATTCAAAATGTTAAATAGAAAAGTTATAGGGAAGTTCTAGGTGCATATATTTTTAAAATTATTAGTGAGTATACATGGTGCTTCAAAGAATTGCCAGTGGACATAACATAGTTTTTTAACTAACCTGACTTCTATTTATAGTGGGGGCCATTTATATACGCAGTTTTATCATACTGTTATTCATGTTAGAAAGATATTCCTATATAAAAACAATGTTCCTTGAAATTTGAAGCTATGTATAAGATTAAAAGAATTTGTAAACCTAAACAAAATCAAAAGTTTCAGCTGTATACTCTTATATAATTGGCTTTATTTTGGGGGATTATTCAAAATGTTAATAGAAAAGTTGGTAGGAAGGTTTAGGTGCACATTTTAAAATTATTAGTGAGTATACAAGGTGCTTCAAAGAATTGTAGCGGACATAACATAGTTTTTTTAACTAACCCGACTTCTATTTATGTGGGGGAAGGCCATTTATATATGCAGTTTTTATCATACTGTATATTCATATTTAGAAAGATATTCCTATATAAAAAAACAATGTTCCTAGAAATTTAGAAGCTATGTATAAGATTAAAAGAATTTGTAAACCTAAACAAATCAAAAAGTTTCAGCTGTATACTCTATATAATTGGCTTTATTTTGGGGATTATTCAAAAATGTTAAATAGAAAAGTATGGTGGAAGGTTCAGGTGCATATTTTAAAATTATTAGTGAGTATACAAGGTGCTTGCAAAGAATTGTAGCCCGGACATAACATAGTTTTTTAACTAACCCGACTTTTATTTATATGGGGAAGGCCATTTATATACGCAGTTTTATCATATTGTATATTCATGTTAGAAAGATATTCCTATATAAAAAACAATGTTCCTGAAATTTGAAGCTATGTATAAGATTAAAAGAATTTTGTAAACCTAAACAAAATCAAAAGTTTCAGCTGTATACTCTATATAATTGGCTTTATTTTGGGATTATTCAAAAATGTTTAAATAGAAAAGCTTAGGGAAGGTTCAGGTGTATATTTTAAAATTATTAGTGAGTATACAAGGTGCAAAGAATTGTAGCGGACATAACATGTTTTTTAACTAACCCGACTTCTATTTATATGGGGAAGGCCATTTATATACTTGCCAGTTTTATCATACTGTATATTCATGTTAGAAAGATATTCCTATATAAAAAAACAATGTTCCTGAAATTTGAAGCTATGTAGTATAAGATTAAAAGAATTTTGTAAAACCTAAACAAAATCCAAAAGTTTCAGCTGTATACTCTTATATAATTGGCTTTATTTTTGGGGATTATTCAAAATGTTAAATAGAAAAGTTATAGGAAGGTTCAGGTGCATATTTTATTATTATTAGTGTATATACAAGGTGCTTCAAAGAATTGTATTGACATAACATAGTTTTTAACTAACCCGACTTCTATTTATATGGGAAGGCCATTTATATACGCAGTTTTATCATACTGTATATTCATGTTAGAAAAGATATTCCTATATAATAAAAAACAAGGTTCCTGAAATTTGAAGCTATGTATAAGATTAAGAGAATTTTGTAAACCTAAACAAAATCAAAAGTTTCAGCTGTATACTCTATATAATTGGCTTTATTTGGGGGATTATTCAAAAATGTTAAATAGAAAAGCTTATAGGAAGAGTTTAGTGCAATATTTTAAAAATTATTAGTGAGTATACAAGGTGCTTCATAAAATGAATTAGTGACATAACATAGTTTTTTAACTAACCTTGACTTCTATTTATATGGGGAAGGCCATTTATATACGCAGTTTTTATCATACTGTATAGTATTCATGTTAGAAAGATATTCTATATAAAAAAACAATGTTCCTGAAATTTGAAGCTATGTATAAGATTAAAAGAATTTTGTAAACCTAAACAAAATCAAAAGTTTCAGCTGTATACTCTATATAATTGGCTTTATTTGGGGATTATTCAAAAATGTTAAATTGAAAAGTTATAGGGAAGGTTTAAGTGCACATTTTAAAATTATTAGTGAGTATACAAGGTGCTTCAAAGAATTGTAGCGGACATAACATAGTTTTTTTAACTAACCCGACTTCTATTTATATGGGGAAGGCCATTTATATACGCAGTTTTTATCATACTGTATATTCATGTTAGAAAGATATTCCTATATAAAAAAACAATGTTCCTGAAATTTGAAGCTATGTATAAGATTAAAAGAATTTTGTAAACCTAAACAAAATCAAAAGTTTCAGCTGTATACTCTATATAATTGGCTTTATTTTGGGGATTATTCAAAAATGTTAAATAGAAAAGTTATAGGGAAGGTTCAGGTGCACATTTTAAAATTATTAGTGAGTATACAAGGTGCTTTAAAGAATTGTAGCGGACATAACATAGTTTTTTTAACTAACCCGACTTCTATTTATATGGGGAAGGCCATTTATATACGCAGTTTTTATCATACTGTATATTCATGTTAGAAAGATATTCCTATATAAAAAAACAATGTTCCTGAAATTTGATAACTTAAAGTTATTGAAAATAAAATTAGCAAACAATCAATTAAATCTAAAACAACTATAGAACAAAACCTATATAAACAAAATCAAAAGTTTCAGCTGTATAATCTATATAATTGGCTTTATTAGTTTATTTAATTATTTTTAAATGAACATTTTTTGGCAAAATAATACACTAATTCGCCATTATACACCAAAGACTTTTAAAATGTAAATACTTAGCATACACAAGCATAAAAAGGCTTTAACTCTACAGGTGTGTTAATTTCCATTAAACCATTTACTTTAACACTTTGCGTTTCTGTTAACTTAGCTTAGCATCATCAGCAGATGATGAAAACTGATTATTTATTAGCTTCGAATTTATGATTACCGAAACGAGAGTCCAGTGTTACAAGCAAAGTGCGTTTTGTGTATTGGTGGTGAATTAATGTTTTATTTTGCGAGTTGTGAAAAAAACAAACCAAACCAAACACCAAAGATTCCAACCTACAACTGTAATGAATATTTTTTGTTTTGTTGCTGTAATAAAAAGAGGCTATAAGAACCTTGTCATTTTTAATAAAGCAGTTTTTATCATACTGCATATTCATGTTAGAAAGATATTCCTATATAAAAAAAACAATGTTCCTGAAATTTGAAGCTATGTATAAGATTAAAAGAATTTTGTAAACCTAAACAAAATCAAAAGCTTCAGCTGTATACTCTATATAATTGGCTTTATTTTGGGGATTATTCAAAAATAAATAGAAAAGTTATAGGGAAGGTTCAGGTGCATGA